ATTTTTTAAACCAACAATAATAAGGTAGCCATAAGACAGTAAGAGTTTGAGCAAGTTATTATTTATATTAAAACATCATTTGAATCTAATTTAATAATTTTTATTCTAGTTTCTTAATGAATATTTTAATTGGTTATAAATCTTTGTAGCCTTGTAGTCAATTAGATTTTTATAAAATTCTACTTTATATAATGAGTAGTATTTCGAGCCTAAACGAGCCGAACACGAACGAACACATCTTAGTTCGTGTTGGGCTCGTTAACTTATCGAACGAAATTAACGAGTCGAACACGAGCTTCTTAACGAGTCGAAAACGAGCTGTTCGCGAACAACGAGCCGTTTTGACAGCCCTATATGTATGTGTGTGTGTTTGTGTGTGTGTGTGTGTGTGTGTATATATATATATATATATCACCGTAACAAATAAAAAATAGACCAGATGCATTCCACCATTTCAACTAATCTACTTGAATTCTACTAATATATTAATTTCATACATATGTATCACTCAATTCTTATGTATGTAAACACGTGACACCTAAACTTCAATATTTTTACTTACATACTACTGAACTCCTTATGTATATTCATACCTAACTAACATCAAAGCTTCAATTTATACATAAATACTACATTACCTATGCATATAACTCATACATAAAACTAAAATCTTATACATGAACTTACATACTTGCATACCCCTAAACTTTTATGTATAACTTACATAACATCCAAACTTCCATTTATACATACATATCTCATAATCTATGCCAAAACTAACATTGATATCACTAAATTCTAACGTATTTACAAAACCTAACACCTAAATATCAATTTGTACATGCACACTACATTACCTATGCTGCAAGACTCATTTTAATTTTAAAAATTTAAAATGAATGATGTTGGAGCAAATAACATTTTCTTCCTCAATGTTTTCGATTGGAGCAAAGCGGAAAGATGAGAAATGATGTGGTTTCGAAGGTCTCTGTAAGATGTCATCATAGCTAGCTCTAATGACGACTGTATCGTGCAGGCAAGCATTAATTTCTAGAATATATGTATATATATACATATCATGAAGTTAAATTTTCCTCTCTACAGCCACAAAATTTTCTCGCAAGTAATAATTTTCTAAAACAAAATATTTTTGATGCCTTAATATATATATATTACAGAGAGATATGTAATATAAACTTCACAATCTCACCATATATCACATTAACATCTTTATTAGACAACATACCAATAAAAAAAAAAAGGACCAAAATATATTAATATATGTACATGCATGCTGAAGACATTTTAATAAATATCGAAAAATATTTCAGGAAGTACATTCAACTTCAGTTTTTGTAGAGAAAATTGACCAACATTAAGCAAAAAAAACTCCTTATTTTATTGATGGAGAGGATCAACACTTCAACAATTGTAGATATATAAAGAATTTCTTCAAACTACATAGTAGTCCATAAAATCAATATATGGAATTATCACTATTTTGACGGTGGTGGACAACCGATGTTGCTGTGAGTTTCACACGAAGGATTTGAAGATGGTGGTGTTGGCCCTTTAGGAAGAGACTCCAGAAATAAATCTTCAACATCTTCAGCCACAAACACTAACTTTCCTCCCAGTAGCCTCACAGCCATGGCTGGCTTTTGCAACGTACCAGCTGCAATCAACAGCAAGATAACAACGGCTTCCACCAGCTTAACAGATCTCCTCTCTTCAACCATATCGATCTCTGAATTAATTTGTACTTCTCTAAGCTTGTTTCTCTTTATATATAAATCTTCTTACTGATGAATCTGCAATGCGTTGTTCTGCAACTAAGGTGAAGTCCTCTGTTGACTGATTCAAAAGAATTCCATGGTTTGTGAAGTGACGCTCAGAAGACTTTGAATATATTTTCTTGGAGTTTTTAATGAGAACCGCGTTTAGTAAAAGAACACACGTTTTACTTCTTATTTTTTTGGTTTTTTAGCGAGACTTTGAATTTTTAACGTGAAACTGTTTGTAATTTTAATGAGTTTTAAAAACGGGGGATTGGGAGTTTATTAATTTTTAATTATGATCGTTGCTTAATATATATCAATGTAAGCTAGTTTAGAATAGAAGAAATTCAGGAGAAAATATTGCATCAGAACTCCGCACGTAGAGTTATAGGTGCGGAGTCCAATCAAATCACGCCACGTGGCTGTGACAGAAAAAATAAAATAAAATATGTCCGGTAACATAAAAAAATATTTCTTCAGTGTTATTCAAGTGTTATTGTGCGTTATTCATGTATTATTATGTATTATTCAAGTATTATTGATGCATTATTGTGTTATTATAACTACGAGAATATTCTCAGAACACAATAACATCTGAATAACATACAATAACACGAAATAACACAGGGGGAATATTTTCATGTATTACAGGGCCAATTTTGTTTTCTTTCACTTCCACGTGGCTTGATTTCATTGGACTCTGCACATACGTGGTCATGATGTAATATTTTTCGAAATTCAGAGTTTCAGATATAATGCATTAAAAATATTCAGTTGTTAATGCTATTAGATTTTTTATGCTCTGATTATGAAAATCTGGGAAGATACACGTTTTCCTGCCTAATGCAGAAAGTTGAAATTGAGAATTTTGATTGGCTCCATTGAAGCAATGACAAATAGTATTGGGTCAAAGGGGGAATAGAGGGAGTACAGAAGGTGGAAGGTATGTCTTTTATGGTGCTTCTTCTAGGTTTAATATTTGTTTGATTAATCATTCTTCGCGCTGCTAAAGTTTTAATGCCGACTTAGTTTAGAAAGGAGAACAAAATTGCAACTTTATTTTTAAAATTGATTTTTTTTTTGAATTTCCGACCTCTTATTTGAAATAAATTATTGCCAAAATAACCATCCTCTTGAGAGAGCCCGATTAATATCAAAAGGAATCTGATCCACCTTACAAAAAGTCCAAATCATATAATTGAATTATGCTTTAGGAAATTATGTTGTTAGGGTCTAACCATTTCTGAATTATCTGCATAAGAAGAGTCAAACAAAATTTATTATTACTCATTTACACATAAAAATCTGTCTGCATTAATCTCAGAGCAGATTGGTGATCTAAGATGGAAGTACGATCGATCGAACCAAGCAATAAACGATCGTTTCCAGATAAGAGGCGTTGGAAATCTCTCACCTAAGCGATCGACAAAAGACGACAAACGGAAGTCCCTCGGGGCAGCCATCAACATGCATAATGGATGGGGAGCACTCCTCCTGGCCATGAATCGATCGAACCAAGATCTGTCAGATGATCAGTGACCTTTATCAATTGAATGGGTCAAGATTTATAATGTGAGAATAATCTTGTAAATTACCCAAAACCCCGTGAAAGGTTAATGATTAGGGGGCTGACATGTAATTTTGTCATGTTGAGATCTAGACCTATAAATAGGGGCCTATATTATGAATAAAATGGACATTTTTGTCTGCCTACTATTGTTACTTCACTCTCTCTTCTTTCTCACTTAATTGACTCCTAATAGAACATTCCATTTCTTGGATATGTTTCACAGACAATTTCATATTCAACAACTCAATTTCTTTAAAATACATTAATTTAAATGATAAAGGCATATTCTATGAAGAAATGAATCGATATAACCATTTGCTTCTATATTTTGAGAGTTTAGCCAAAATAATGAATGTGTTTCTCTAAAAAAATGATAAATAATGTCATTTTCTACTTGGAAGAGAGCTAGAATTGAAATCAAAGAGAGTGCTTCGAGTACTAAGGAACTCGAGGGCTTTATCTGACAACAAACACTGACCACTACTAGCAATCACCATCATTAGATCGTTGTTGTCTCATTACCATTATCTAATCAACATCATTGCCATCTAACCGATATCAGCCATCGAGCATCTCCAGCTTTGTTTCTTCCATCACAAGAGACAAGTTAGTACTAAGTGTGATACTTAATAATTTTGTCTTCTCCTAATAAAGTGAAGAGCTGATCTTGTAACCTCAATTATTATGTTTAATTAATTTATTTTGGACTATGTCATGTGATTTTCTCAATTTTCATAATTTTTCATATAAGAATCTTGTTGTCTACTATATTCTTATTTTGTATTGCTTTGTGTATGAGATCTTTGTAATATGGCATAAAACTCTCATTCTTTAATAATAATATATATATTTTTTGCATGCAATTATATGATTTTCCTTTATGAGTGGAAAGTTTTACTTCTTATAGTACCACAAAAATGCAATATTTTTATTTTTTTATTTTTTTTGAAAATTTAATATATAAAAAACCGAAGATGCATGATAAATTATAACTGAAATGTACTAGGTGCTGCAAAATACGAGCTGCTCATG